TATACGTTACATGAAAAGAAAAATCCATGCAGTATTGAGGCCAAAAGCTGGTGTTTAAAATTTTTTAAAAAGTGGTCTATTAATTCTGTCACTTAGAGTATGTACTTGTATAGACACACATTTTACGCTTTACATTTCTGTGTGTGTGCTTGAAACATTTATATGCCATTTAATAAATTACATTTAGAAAATAAAATACTTACTATAAAGATAACAAACGTGTAATGTTCATTTTATTTGTGTACTTGCTTTATACCCTGCAAAATTCATTCTTCACGCACATGTAAAAATGTGATTATACAGCTTGTAAAATTTATGATTAAATAATTTTAATGTAAAAGGACAATTTCATCAGCATTTCAGTAATTTTAACATTGATTCCCTGTTATACACAAAGTCAATTAGGTTACCTATGACAGAATTTGGGATATTTTATTCCATTCGTCAAGAAAATAGCTCTTTCAGCAGAACCATTAGAGTAGATAAGTTTAGCGAGTACCAAAATTTATGCTTCGCATGTAATCAAACAGGTTCTATTTTCCAACATGTTGTGTGAAGATGTTGATCAGTCTATTCATGTTAGCCCTACCCGGTAGCCTTCCCTTAACCAGTGACAAGGACAGCATCTGATGTTAGAACACCTTTTTAGAAATTTGTTCAAATCTCCAAAAGGATAAATCAGAGCTTAGATTGATTATTGTCAATCAACTCATAATTCTGAGGCTTTTAATTAAAAATCTGTCGAAATATTTTTCAAATACTTCAGTTAAACAAGAGAAATATTGTTTTTCTGTGCCGAGTACCCTGGAGTATCTACTCTAACTCATATAGAGGAAAAAAAGGAGTAATTTTATAAAGTACGAAACTTTAATTCTAAAAACACGAGTATAAATATGACCGATTAACAAATAAACTAAGAAATTTTCAAACCAATTTATTATTTTCTCCCAAGCCCCTCCCCCCCAAATTGCATGTATATCAATATCAGCTATTTTCCATTTTACAATCTAGTACCAATACAAAATTAATATATACAGCAACTTTCTTTAATATTTCCATTTTCTAAAAAAAAACATTAAATATTAATATACCGTTCATAAACCTGATAACGAATATAACATACAAACAATACAAAAAACATTTTAAACTTTTATTTTGGCAATAAGGGAACTGGGATATGAAGATGCTTCAAATTTTGAATTTTTTTTCTTTACTTTTGCTTTTATAAACAGAAGGCATTTTGCTGTATCCATAAATTCATTATTTCTGAGAATTCGATAAGTAATACGCTAGAAAATTAGAGTTTAAAATTGCGTAAGCAATTTATGTAACTATAATTTAGGTCCTATTTCTTCAAAATTCGTTTTGTAGTATTGTAAAAAGCTAATTTTTCTATACAAGGAATGTAGTTTTTCTCTCTCTCTCTCAGTATTGTAAGTACAAATTTATAAAAAATTCTTTATTTTTTTAGCAAAAATTATTGAAAATTTAAATGGTTATTTGCAAACTTTAAACTAAAATTATGTTTTTTTGAACTATTAATGATTTCTAGTTTGTTTTGTATTTATAGGGGTCCCTCACGCTACCTCTTAAATTATAAATCAGAAGAATATAGTTTAAAATGGATTTTGAGGATTATTCTAAATTAAATACACAGCTTGTAAAATATACATTTCGTTTTTCCTAACTGCTTCTTGTTTACATTTGAATGCTCATGAGTAATTCTATTTTTTTTTATAACTGTAGGTGTTATTTTAAAAGAAATAAATACCCATATGTATGAGTAGAAAAACAGATATTATTTTGTTATAGTTTTTAAAAACAGAGTTCCATTTATAAATCACAGGCATCAAGCTAACTTTTTAAATTTATGAAAAACATTATATTTGTATATTTTTATAAGAATAAAATATGTGTAAGGAATTCCATAATAACCTGTAATCATGATGCTCACACTGAAGTAATATACATAAAACTTTGGTATTTTAAACGAAAGAAGGTGTGAATCAATGACAACACGTGTTGTAGAGGAAGGGAAATGGTAACTAAAAAAAAAAGGTTTCTAAATAATCTAGAATTTGAAACAATTTAAAAACTGAGAAATAATGCAAAATAACCGAATTAATTAGGGTATGGCTTTATATTGTATTAAAAATATCATTTTACAAATCATAGATTATAAATATCTTTATTTGTGATTTTTTGAAAGTGAATTTTTCTTATTCCGATACATTTTTCTTAAAATCTACTTTACCTATAGAACTGATATTTTGCATACTATAATATCGATAAATTTTCAATAAAGAGAACGATTTTTTTTTCAAATAAACGTTCAAAAATTTTTAGATATAGCACAATTTTTGGATAAAATTTAAAAGAGATTTGAATCACTAAATTAAATTTTTTAAAAAATTTTTTTAACTTTTTTAAAAAATCTATTTTTTGCATTTTATGAATCGTTATGTTTACAAAAATTCTGTAAACTTTTATTGCTATTTATGTGATGGATTTTTGTAAAATGTCCCTAAATGTAAGAACATGCCTCGAAAAGAAAAAAAATAATAATAATTGATAATTTATTGCTCATACAGATTTATTTTTAATTTAAAAAGTATTTTTTTACTTTAACTGGTATATAAACACACAGGTAATTCAATGTAAAAATTTTATTTCATTGCTTTAATTTAAGTAAGTGAGAACCATTTAAATTTGGTGTAAGAAAGTTCATTTTTCATTGTCGCAGATGTCCAAGTTATCTTAAATTAATTTTTAAACGATTTGTCCACACAAACATAATACTGAAATTACATTTATGTAAAATATATAATTGAATAAGTTACATTTAATTAATGTTATTACGATGAAGACATTTTGACAGAATCTCAATAATGAAAGAAAAAGTTGACAAATTGGATATATTTGATAACATCTAAATTCTACTTCAAATTTTATATCACGCGAAAAAGGGAGAAAGGAGCGATGTTTAAAAGTAGAAATTGAACCTACAGGCACAACAGTCAATTGGATAACCATCACCTTTGCAGATGCAGCCAGTTGCTGTATCAGAGGCAGGCCTTTTCAATAAGTTTTACAATAATGTAGAATCTATAACTTGCTACCGTTCATAGGCTTCGGCAATTGCCCATGCGATTCGGTCTGCTGTTTTCTAAATTGAGAGTCACACATTCTGTATAATAACATTTTGTTTTTTGACATTTCATTCTTTTTTATGTGTTATGAGCTCTGTGCCTTCTAATTTCTGCAGAAATTCTCCAATACCACATGGACAAAGTTGACGAATTGCCACCTTTTTCAAACGGTACAAAAGTCCGATGCCATAATCACTCGGCCATTCTGAATGCTATTTTCTTCCTTTTCCCTTTCTTCTGCCTGTATTTGGATATTATTTTAAACAATATTCAAGAGGTAGATTGGAAATTAGAATGTATAATTCATTATTGAATGAAATCAGTTTATTTCTCTAGTGATAGAGTTATACACAAGTCAAAAATTTGGTTTCGGATTTACCAAGATATAATATAAATGATTTTATCTTGCCCTTTTTTATGTATCCCACAACTTTTTCTGTACTCTCTACTACTCATTCTACACACATTCCACTTCCTCTAACTTATTTAAGTAAAGATTATGTTCTGTATTATTGCAAAAAGTTATGCACATGAGCTAGAGCTGTACTTGCTTATTTCTTCTTTTCGTTTGCCAGTTTTAGGTTGTTTTTTATAAATTATTTTCCTATGGGTAATTATTTCCCACAAATAAAAAAAAGGTGCTTTTTCTATTAGATACGTATTACATTTGCAAAACATTGGATAAATGAGTGTAAAATTATTTCGTGGAACCCTGGATAATAAACAATAGAATATTTGCTGTAGGTAGTATATATAATGAAAATCGTTTTGATATTCTTTAGATACGCGTAGTCTTATAAATTCTACAGAAAACATTATTTCATTTTGCAAGCACACATTTACAAATTTAGTTTCTATTTTTTTATTTTTATTCGTGAAACCATTGGGTCTGGCTTGTGAAACCTGAGGTTCCGTGGAACACCATTTAAAAAGCACTTCTATAGACTAATTACTAAGCAAAACCATTTGCTTTAAAAACAAATTCTTTATTTTTTCATTAAATGTCAAGAAGACATTGTCGGTTAATTTACAACATAGATATCTTTAGAAATTGATATATACGCCCCACACATTTACATGCTTTTAAGTTTCTTTACACTCTCATAAAAATAACGTTACATAACATATAAAAATTACGATGTAATAAAATATAAGTTTATTTCTGATCAATATTAAGAAACACATTTCGACTATATCAATACTTAGATATTATAAGCAGAAACAGTATATATATAGATGTATTAAAAATATTTCATAATATCTAAATTCTATAACTTAGGGTAAAAATAAAAAAACGCCGTTCAAGAGCAGGAATCGAACCTACGGACACAACTGTCAATCGGATAACCACCAAATTTGCAATCGCAACCACTCATTGGATCCGATCCGAACAGTAACGGGGATCTAAGGCTTGCCATCCTGACGGGGCCTCAGCAATTGCCGAGGTAATTCGGTCTGCATTGTGCCACACTGTGTGTTGACACATTTTATTTTTTGCCTTTAATTCTTTTCACTCGTTTTTGTATCAGTAGCTATTGTGATTTATTTTGCAAGACACCAATGATGTATGAACCGAAACCAAGAGTTAGCCACATTTTGCAAACGATGCAGAAGTCCGATGCCATGACCACTCGGCCATCCTGAACGCAGTATTCTTTTCTTGTGTTTTCTAATATTTTATAATAATAATGTTTTAGTGTTATCCTCGTACAGTTTTCATGTTATACATGTAAAATTGAAATGTATATTTAAACATTAAGGAATTAAACAAATTTATTTCTGTAGTCATAAGGAAACAAACTGTAAATTCTATTCAAAATTTACATCATGCAGTAAGGGAAAAAAAACGCTGTTCAGGAACCGGAATCGAACCTGCCTAAAAACTCGGATAATTGCCATGTTTGCAGAAGCGGCCACTCATTGGAAGTGTAATGAGTTTGTTCATTATTACAATAATGGAGGAAATAAAGTTTGTCATCTGCAGTTGCCGATGTAATATGGTCTAATCTCTTCTGAAAATCATCGCATTCTAATGATATTTTATTATTTTTTTTATCTTTCAAGTTTGATACTTCCTATGAGTGAGTGAATATTAACGTCGCAATGTTCAGCTACACGCGCGCGAGAGAGTTCTTCAACTTCCTGAGAGAAAGCCCCAATAACAAGGAGCGGCCACATTTTATAAACGATGCAGAAGTCCGATGCCATAACCACTCGGCCATCCTGAACGCAAAACGCTTTCCTTACGCTTAGTTTTCTTTCTCTGTTTAAATAATTTCGTTTTCGGAGATGATCTCAAAAAATATCGAGACTACAGTTATAAAATTCAAACACATAAATTATTAATAATTATCAAATGTGATTCTCTAGTAAAAAAGAAATATAATATTTATAAATAATAATCTTTGGCAGTTACCTCATTCACAGATACAGGTGTAGAATTATGCATTTTAAATTACATTTTATACATTATATTGTATCAAAAGGAAGTATTCATACATTGATTAAATTATGTAACATGTTATCGCAAACAATTGTTCGAAAGCAGGAAGCTTATTTACCCAAAAGAGCATTGAGACGTTCTACTATTATCTCATGCCATAACTGCAACACCTTGGATCTGACCTCGATCCTAGGAGAGTTAGTTTCTACTTTTGGGAATGCTGCTCTTTATAAAAAAATTAGCAGTAATAAAGAAACAATAAATTTCTGCATTGAAGAAGTCATTTTGTTTTCTTTTTAATCTAGACGCACCTATTTATCATGATTTGATCTCTGATGAAATACATTATTCTAAGGCCTATGGTACTCAGTGGTCATTGCTTTAAGTACATCATCAGCGACATACCGGCCAAATAATGGATTAACCCTATATCTGCCGACAGTATAAGTACCACTCACTTAAATATTTCATGGAATAATAATTTTTACGAATATCTTGACAATATTTGGTAAGAAAATTCTTTTAACTCCACCCTTCTAGGATACATGGCAAAACAATTTCTGACATGAGTATTTTGACCGGGCAGGCGAATATAGTTTTTAAGCAAAACATTAGTTTTCAGCTGACAGTTTGATCGGATCGCGAGGTTTATCATTTTTGTTCTGAAAATGTATTTAATATCAAAGGTAAATGTGTTATTTATTTGTATGTTAGTTAAGACCTTAGAAAATAATTTGACTATTTATTTTAAGTGAACAGAGTGTATAATTAATTTTACAGTTGAATAACTTTCTGGTACTTATAAGTACTGACGGCCCACTGGATGTTAGAGCAAGAACTGGATTTTTTTATTTATCTTTTTTCGTCTGTGTAGTAAATTGTTGTTTTTTGTTTGTGTTGTAGCGTCATCACTGTAGTGAAAAAATGTTATGCATTTTTGCATTTCTTTTAAACTTAAATTATTTATTTTGTATTTTTATCCTTTTGTTTTAAAGTCATCAAAAGATTTTTAACAGAATTCTGAGATTATGTTTTACGACACAGTTAAATGAGTTATCTATAATTTCTTCAAAAATTAGAAACATTTTAACTTCTGTATATATAACTGAGATTTAACAATAGCAGGAAGTTTTCAAATGCTATTATTTACCCTCCCTTTCCGAATGGTTATGGCATCGGACTTCTCCACCGTTTGAAAAATGCGGACACCTCTTGGTTTCAATTCATGTTGTATTGGATTTTTGCTTCAGTAATTATCCATCTACAATAATTCACAATTAAGTAGCTACAATTAACAGAAAAGAGTAAAAAATGCCTTGAGACTGTGATTTATATCAGAGATTATATTGGACCGATTCACATCGGTAATTGCAGAAACCATGCCAACATGGCAAGCATTAGACCTTCCTCTATTATAGCTTTGTCTGAAAGCGCTTTCCAGATCCGAGGAGTGGCCGCATTTGCAAAGGTGGAGGTTATCCGATCAACTGTTGTCTCTGTAGGTTCCATTTCTGCTCCTGAACAGCATTTTTTGTCCATTTTAAGAAATAAATTTTTCAATAGACTTTAGAAATTATTAATTATTGGAAAGTGTAATTTACTTACAAATGTGTGTGATTTAGATTTATAAGGATATACTGGGTAATCTATAGCGTTTCATTGTATTGTTAGAGTAAAAATATATGTGTTATTAAATGACATAAATATCAGGTTAAGAAATGTAATTTTTTCTACATGTTGTAAAATAACCGTAAAAAGCAATTTATTGTGCGAACTATTTATTATATCTTTTGAATTTTTTATGTTATTTATTAAGAATATATAGATATTTTAAATTTCCTTTTTTAAAAAATTTTACAAAAAAATCTTTACTTCAGGAAAAAAAGAAACGAAAAATACTACAAAACTCTACAAGAAACGCTTAACAATTTAATTTTTTAAGGATTTCTCAATTAGCTGAAATAAGGTTTTCCCCTGTGTTGAAATATAAAGAGATAATAATAAATGAATTTGGAAAATTTTCTTAATTCAAATGCTATCATTTTTATACTCCTGCTTCTTTGCTTAAACTTTTATACAAAAAAAAAACAATCTTTACAAGTCCCTGAATATATTTAAAAATATTTAAGAATACTAATATATTTCAGTTGGTTACTTGAAAATTTGGAAGAAGACTTTGTCTGGTTGTCAATGTCTAAATTTTATAAAAAAATACTCGCTGATACATTCTAATCTATCTCGGATCAAAAGAATCGAGTACGAACTTAAAGAGTGACCTGAAACTCCCCAGTTTTGCCCTTGTCACTTCACCATGGTTCAAAATTAAAAGGGGGGCTGCGGTAGCCCTGTGGTAAAAGAATCCGATCATGACAGGCATGTCATAATTTCGAGCCCAGTACCACTAAAGACCTGCCGTGTAGGGAGCCATGTACGTTAAATCTGTCGAGAGCTCAAACATCCTCCCATTGGTGTGATGTGGTATTTAGGAGAGGGGATGCCAGCTCAGGTGTCATCCTCGTCACTTGATTATGGTTAAAATTTCGAGGTCCATCACCAAAAGCCCTCGTGTAGCTGAACATTGCGACGTTAATATTCACTACTCACTCAAAATTGCAAAATATATTCCTAATATGATTCGTGATCTATCCTTGGGGAACAATATGAATTTTGTTTTAGTATGTTCTCATCTTTTTGATGTGTTTTTATTTGCGAAAATATTTTTAAAATCTTAGAAATTTTCATCATATTTTCAAACTGGACACTACATTACAAATAATGAAATAATAAATAAATTGTTTCATTATTATCTTTTATTTATCTTCCGTATTATTCATTTCATATTTTTTCCCGCGAATATATATACTTCTTTTCCTATATATTTTAAAATTTCTACTTTCATAAGTGCTAAGCAAGGTTTTTTTGTTGAAAGAAAAGGATCAGTCATTCTTCTTATTTTACGAAGAAAGTCAAAGTTTTTTTTCTTTTTGAGTTTTATGTAACTTGTTTCTAGAATACTTACAAAAAGTATTTAATATATAAAAAAAAGTGTACTTCATCTTAACTTTCAACTTTATTAATTTTCGGTGTGAACGAAAAACAGCAATTTTCCAGTTATTATACGAAAAATGTGTGCATCATAAAATAGTGAATTTTTTTCTCTCCAAACCAAAGTTATAAATTTTAGAGATTCTTGGATACGGACATTAAAATACGACCGAGATTTCATTTCTAGTATTTTTAAAAACTGTCATAGTCTAAAGAATTTCAAGTTCTAATTTTCGTTCTGATTTTGGTCTACAGTCCTGCACGTATTCTTTCACAATAATTCACACTGTTGTATAAACTGAAATTAGGAAGTGGTTGTACTTTCCAAACCACGAAGTCCGCGATGCAAATGGAGCAATACTGAGAATCCGGTACACCATTTCAGTAAAGATTGCAGTGAAGAGGAATCTAAAGCAATTACTCAGCCTTCAGCTACCGAGCCATTTTTAAGTAGCCTGGTGATGCTCAATTGCCCTGAGAAAGTTACTTTTTAAGAACATTGTATTAAAAATTTGACTGGAAATCCTTTGTAAAGAAATCAAATATATCAATTTTGCTTTTTCCGTCCTTTTCGTACGGGTACGAATTGACATTCTTTTTTATTTGGAACGGTTACGGTTAGCGATAACAGACATCAGTGCAGTAGCAATAATTTTATGGATGGAACTAATTTGTAAACATCTTTCATATTTTGCAAGCGAAAAACATTCGAAGGAAATAAAGCGTTTGAAGACATTTGGGAGGTTGACTATTTTGTAGTTAAAAACAAACATGGATCAGTAATTGCTTGATTTGTCACGAAAGTTCTGTATTTGAAAAACACCATTAAACAGAAATTTTATTCAATGACACTTTTCCTCGAATATCTCTTTCAAGAGGTGATAAATAGGCTTTCTTGAATATTCTTTGCAATACCAACAAGTCGCTGCGGCAGACGAGTGGTATAGGTATCGGACCGTGGCTTGCCTTGTCACGAGTTCGAGCCCAGTACCACTAAAGACCCGCCATGTAGGGCAGCGATGCACGTTAAATCTGTCGAGAGCTGAAACGTCCTCCCGTTGTTGTGGTGTTGTAGTTAGGAGAGGGTGGTGCCAGCTCAGGTGTCGTCCACGTCCCTTGACCATGGTTCAAAATTACGTGGTCCGTCGCCAAAAGCTCTTGTGTAGCTGAACATTGCAAAGTTAATATTCAATCAATCAATCAAGCAACACCAACAAATTTTTTGTCAGTGGTCTTATCACAGCGGTAACAAAGACATCCTATGAAGTTTGTAAAATTATTGAAAATCATATGAAACCTGTTACTGATACAGAAATTGTGAAGGAGTGTTTCTTAAATGTTTCTAATTAAGTGTCAGTGACAAATATATATATATATATATATATAATAATAAAAAATTAAAGCAGGAGTTATAATATTTGCATCAGTTTTCACTTTTTAAAATTTTCCCAAATTGTTATCTTGTTCTTAAAGCATTTTTCCTTCCCTCCCATTTATCCTCATGTTGCGTCCCACGTGAAATTTCAGACATGTGTATGCGACCCAGCAGAAAAAAAGGTTGAGTACCCCTGATCTAAAGCTTACCATCTTCTCATGGCTTTTGAAGAAAAGATTCGGCGCGAAGAATCCAATGTTATTGTATTCTTGGATTTTCATTCTTGTATTCTTGGATTTCCATTCTTGGTTTCTGTCGAAACCAGTCTTATTTGAAATTAAATAGACTAAACCATGACAATTGTT